TACATCCCTAAATTATAAACATAACATTAAATTGATAGCTATTTATTAAATAATCTATAAATAAGAATGCAAAGTGACACAAAAGAGGAAAAGGAGACGACTCAGCAAAAAGTCTATCTCTGGCGAGAGAGACGCTGATTTTCAGTCGTTCCTGTTACATCATCGACTGGATGTTGAGAGAGCGGTACATATTATTATGTTGTGTGTATCCTCTGTTGTGACATATATATTCTTAATCATTTTCAATACGAAAACCTTAAAACCTTAGTATTATATAACAATTAATATTTTAAATCTGTCAATAAGTATTTACTACTAAAGAAACACTAGACTGCAAGCCCTCCCGGGAGTCATCGTTGAGATCTAAAGGTGATATATCCACAGGTTCGGGATCACCACGTATCGGGGTATCTTCTCCCCTTCGCCTCGTTGCCGAATAGTTGCATTCAGGACAGTTGAAAGACTTTTGCAATTCCCTGCGTTTGCTGTTGAATTTAGCCGACGTGATGTTTAAACAGGCATAATGGAACGTAGATCTACAAGTATTACAAGTCAGTAATTCACCTGCTTGTTTTATTTGCTTCTGGCAAGAATTGCATTTAGTCATAATTGCTACGAAAGTTTCAACAGGCACTTATAAAAGAACGCAGTGAGTGACGTGACGTGACGTCAAGGCAGTCGAGGCAGATCAATAATTTCACCGCTCGGCCGGCAATCTTGCTAGCTTAACGGCTCCAACGCAGGACTTGTAACACACTGGACCGAGTTCGATCCTCGCACTTCGGTGTTAAGTTATTTCAAATTTTTCAAAGTTTCGAACAATTGCCGCCACTCACCCGAACGAGGAAAAGAGAGATCCGACCCAAACCAATATGGCCGCCGACGTATACGCCAAAAACCTCAAGATGATACGAGAGGGACCGATTTTTCACTAAGACTTCGGAATTAACAATTTAAAATAAGAATTTCAAGTTTGTAGGATTAATTGTAAAAACGACACACACGTCCACTCTACTCAAGATCCAGTCCACCAGTAAAAGAGGCCGTCAGAAAGGTGGAGGGAGCCGTCGACTTTCTTCATCGTGGAGAGACAGCGACTGAGGCGGCGCGGCGGATGTCGGAGAGCTGCCATAGAGGCAGAGGTGAAGGCCCTGAGGGGGGCCTACTCCTCCGCCATGGCCAAGGCCAAGGCGCAGGTGGCCCCACCGTCGAGCAGTTCCGCGGAGATGCACGCGGGGGTGAGGGAGGCTATTGATGACCTCAGGCGCGACATATTCACCTCGATGAGGAATATGATGGACGCCCGCCTGAGCGACATCGAAAGGCGCCTCCCCGCAGAGTTCCTAAGGCCCCCACTGGGCGGCAGAAGAGGATCGCCCGCCGACAAAGCAGTGCCTGCCGCCACCGCCGCTGCAGTCTCTCCCAGGCTGCCTCTCACCGCAGCCGCACTCGAGCCAACACCGGGCCCCTCCCCGGCCCGAAGCGCGCCCGCCGGCCCGCGGCCCAAGAAGACGGCCAAGAAGAAGGCCCTTCGCCGAAGGCTGCTGCCGCTCATCCTGCGGCGGTCAAGAAGAAGGCTTCCCCGCCGAAGGTTGCTACCGCCCCTCCTGCGGCGGCCCCCGCTGCCTCTGGTGCGGCGGCCCCCACGGCCACTGACCAGGCGGAAACGCCCTGGTCGCAAGTACTTGGCCGCAGGGCCAGGAAGGGCAAAAAGACAGCTGCCGGCCTCCAGGCGGCATGGGGCTCCGCCAAGGCGACCCCTAGGACGGCTCCCAAACCCAGGGCGCTCGCCACCCCGAAATCATCGGCGGTGGTGATCACCCTGAGGCCTGAAGCGGTGGCGGAAAAGTGGGCCACGTACAAAGGGGTCCTCGAGGCGGCGGCCGCGGCTGTGGACTTGGGCAGTCTGGCGACTTAGCTTACTTTAAATAATAAACTACTTCTAAAATATAATAACAGCAGATAGACTAGACTATTGCACAAAATTATACAGTCTCTACTCAGTGTATTCTAGACGTTTAATATAAAAATTATTTCGGTCAACCGTGACCACGGGAATATTAAAGGCCTCGAAACGTTGGTTGAAAATAGTTTTAATTCTCTATGTGTAACAATCGCCAAAACTTAAGAACACAATTTCGGTGAACTTACGCGCACGCCGAACAGTAGAAGTTGAAGAAGAAATTAAAATAATAAGTAAAACGATTCTCAAAAAGTTCGTCATTTCACGCGAATACAGCTATTATTATTCGTAAGTCGTAATACAGCACTTGTTAGCGTAAACCAGCAATAATCACGCGTACTATAAACTACGGCACACAAAAAACAAATAAAGTAATTTAAATACTTTTTGCATTTTTGATAGTGACGTGTTATAATCTTTATCATTAATTATCACTGATTACTAGTGTTGAGTTACACATACACGAGGCAACTCGTTTGTACCACTGCCATAAAAATGTCCCACCTCACACCTCACTTCATGTCATAGCCTCACTCATGTCACACTGCACTGCCCACTTTTTAGCTGATTTTATATCATATGATCATGCTACCGTAGTACTAAATAAAAACAGCATTTATTTAAACTATGTCATAACACTTAAATTATCCAATTGATTGATACCATTAAATTATGAAAATGTGTTTAATATTCCCTGTCTGTTGAGTCACTGCCGTAGTGTAGGTGCAAACAGTGTTATCACTACCTCACCTCATTTGAAGTAGGACATTGTAAAGCCTCATTTTTTCAAATGAGATACTCCTTCAAACTCATTTTAATTTCATGTCCTACCCAACACTACTGATTACACCAGATAAAAATGTTAACTGCCGCCGTGTCCGGTCACTCTTCTAATGGTTAATTACATGACAAATCGTTGATTAGGGATTGATGTTGCTTACGAACAGGAGTTTCATCATTTCTGGAACGAATTGAAATTCTTTGACATGCATCGCAGCACCATTTTTGACGAAGATCACTAAGGTGGCTTCTAAAGTACGCAGATGTCATGTTTAGGCAGCTATAGTGAAAATGTCCCTTGCACAAAACGCATTTGAGTTCCTCACTGGAATATGTAATTGGTTTTTGGCACGCTACACAATTCATTTTCATAAACAATATAATAAGTAGAAATTAAAAAATTAATAAAAAATAACTAAAAAATAAAAATAATCTTTAGAACGGTACGTGAGATTCGAACTCTGGTTCAACGACTTCGCAGTCTGTATACTAAGCCACTAAGTCCACGCTGTAGCTACAAGCAAGCGGTGAAGAAGTAGTATGACTCAGACGGGTCGTTGAAAGTAGGCGACCGTGAAATCGATCTATCGATCATTATCACTACAAACATGAAGTCACTAATGTTTGAGTTACCGTCACTTTTGAATTAACTTATATAAATGTTCATACAAAATCACTATACAGTTCAATTTGTAGGTGATAGGGTGATAAGGTAAGTAGTTTGCTACTACGTTGTAGGCATTTTCCATTTTTTATTGCAGCTAATCCTTCAGTAAAAGTGTTGCCATTAGTAAAATTTATTTAAGTGTGTAAAAACATATTTTTGCAAGTGTTAATACTGTTGCCAGAGATGGCCCTTACCTAACCTAACCAGTGAATCATCGAGTGTGCGAACACCGGACAAATGACGCGAGCCGCTGAGGTCAACGCCCGACCTTCAAGTGCGTCACCGCTTGTATGGCACATTTTACAAATGAACTTGTGCAGGCACATTACAATTTAGTTACGACAAAGAACTAAATTGTAACAGCTGATCGTTTCTCACATGTCCACATAAACATAGTCGGACCACTCCCCACCTCACCGCAAGATTACCGCTACCTTTTTACATATGCTTGATTGCACGCTTAGGATGCCCCCTGAAAATAACAACTGATCAAGGAAGGCAATTTGAGAGTCAGTTATTCATTGCTCTGACAAAAATACTAGGCGCTGAGAGATTACGCACAATACCATATCATCCGCAAAGCAACGGACTTGTTGAACGCTGGCACCGTTCAATGAAAGCAGCACTGAGGGCAAGACTAATATCAATCAAGCACTGGATCGACGAGAAGCGACGCAGATCTTGCTAGGCCTGCGCACTGACACGCAAGTTAGCGCCGCCGAGCTAACGTACGGTAAAGGACTACGCCTGCCTAGCGATTTTTTCACAGAATTAAGCACTAACTCAAATATGGACCAAGACTACGCATGAAGCCTTCGCCGTACAATCAACGGCCTAAAGCCTATGCCCGCACAGCACCACAGTAACAAAAAAGTCACTTTCGTACACCCCGCTTTACAACAATGCGACAGGGTATTTGTACGTGCCAACGCTATAAGGAAGCCGCTTCAACCACCTTACGACGGACCGTACCCGGTACTAAAAAGGAGTGACAAGATGTACACAATACAGCTACCAGGTCGTCAAACTGTCATCTCCATTGACCGTCTCAAACCAGCGTACATCCTAAACGAAAACGAAGAAGCCAGTATAAGCCCCTTAGTGAAGCACACGAGATCCGGCCGCGCTACCAAGCCACCTGTACGCTTTACTTGAAGCTGTAAGAGTGATGCGTCAAAGGGAACGGAGCGTGAGGAAAAAGGATAGGCGGTGAAAGAGAGAGATAAGAGATAGATGACGGCGAGGAAAGGAAGACGTGTGCAAAAAGATTAGAAATTGTGTTTAAAATTAATAAAGGGCGAGTTATTGTAAATCAATAGTGCATTTTATTCAGAAGCGTCAAAATCACCTATCCCACAAATTGGGGGCTCGTCCGGGATAGTGCTTCTAAATAAAAAAACGACGATACAACGTACGGCGGCACGTGGTCGCACTTAAAATTTGCTACCTTACGACTACTATCTACGACAAAGATAACTTACGACTACGAAGACAGGTCTATCTCCAATATTTACAACGAGAAGAAGAAATTCACGAAATTACGTAGAAATCTTTCATTCTTACGAAGAAGGTCAAGCCGGTAAGAAAAAAATGGCGGAGGGCAAAGGAGGCATGGCTATGTCTGATATTATGTGCAACATTGCGAAGTTCGATGGAGAAGACAAGACATATTCTTCGTCTAAATGGGCGCAACATATTGAGGATAATGCGGAAGTTTTCGGGTGGACAGCTCAGCGGAAGCTCATCATAGCTCGCAAATCTCTAACCGGCACGACAGAACTCTGGCTGCGCTCCGAAAAGACATTCAAAACGTACGAGGACTTGAAGAGTGCCTTACAAAAAGAGTTTTTGGAGTCAGTCAATGTAAAAGAAATGCACAAGTTAATGGCCTCACGTAGAAAACGTCGTGACGAAACCTACTATCAATACCTGCTCACGATGAAAGAACTGGGCAAAAGGGCTAAATTCCCTGACTACGTAGCCATCCAGTACATCATAGACGGGATTAACGACAGTGAAGTAAACAAGACAATCCTACTATGATCTAAGCCTTGGCCTGCCTCTGCTCTTGTTGATATCCCTTATGTGTAACATTATTTTAATTTTAAGACCTTATATACCATATGAAGACAATAAATATATTGAGTATCACAACTACACCTAGATGGAATACGATAATCCTCTACATCATTGGGTTCGGCATATCATACCAGTGGTTTAAAAAATGAGGACTACCGATATTTCTCCGGACTCACCTGGAGGACCAGAAGGAACCAGCAGGACGCGGTTTTATCTGAAGAAGAGAGGAGTTACGATGGCGTAAAGCCTGATAAATACTGACTCTCACCTATGGCGAATTAGTTTACTATTTAGATTTGTGTAACGTAATGCTTTTCTATTTTTCTATTTTTTTTTTTGTACTTTAGACTTGTAAGACTCGGGCGAGAAACTACAAGAAAGATACGAGCAAATGTAGTACCTCACATCACGCACAGAATATCAGTGCCTAAAGTAGATAAGAAAATATATGTTGATTTATTAGCTGATGATGGCTCTGCGGGAGAGAAAATAGATATCTTAATTGGAAACGATTATTACTTTTCATTCTTTAAATCAGAAAGTAAGAAATTGTGTGACAATTTGTTTTTAATCAATACTGAATTTGGTTGGATATTAAGTGGCAAAGTTGATTCAGATTATCAAAATATATTATCAATAATTACTTATTGTCAATGCCATAGCCCAGAATGTATGTACTACACAGAGCCTGACCTTCCTCTCAGAAATACAGATTTGACATTTTTGTGGTCACTAGAAAGCATAGGGATCTTAGATTCTCCTAAGGCTACAAGAGAAGATGAAGCAGTAAAACACTTCAACAACAATGTCAAGTATGTAAATCAAAGATACACGATTAAGTGGCCTTGGATTCAGTACCCACCAGAAATACCTACTAATTTTGGACTAGCATATGTAAGGTTGAAGGGGCCGCGAATTGATAAAAATACTTTGGAAGAATATGTACAAATTCTCAAAGCACAACTGCAAAGTGGCACTATAGAATTGGTCGAACCTGAGGATGATGCTACAAGACAAAGAATTCCACCTTTGCACTATCTACCCCATCATATAGTCAAGCAAGAGGGGAAAAAAGGAAGGTTGGTGTATGATGCTCGAGGGAAACTAAAAAATCATAAAAGTTTGAACGAGTGCATGTTTAGAGGACCTTCTTTGATTGGAGACTTACTCGCAATTCTCCTACAATTTCGTACTTATAAAATTGCTATTACAGCTGATGTAGAAAAGGCCTTTCTTCAGATAGGTCTCCAAATAGAAGACAGAGATGTCACAAGATTTCTATGGCTTAAACATGTAAATCAACCAATCTCTAAAGAAAATTTACTACACCTGCGATTTTGTAGAGTGGCTTTTGGGATTATTTCAAGTCCATTCATACTAACTGCTACAATAAACTACCATATTTCACAAAAGTACCCAGACTTATTGTCAAAGATTGCCGATAAATGCTACGTAGATAACCTTGTGACAGGATCAAAAACAGTAGAAGAAGCGCAAAAGTTGTACAAGGACACGAGGAGAGTTTTCCAAGATTTGTCAATGAATATCCGTGAATGGAACTCTAACAGTCCTGATTTCCTTAAGACAATTCCACAAGAGTACAGAGCAAAGACTTCTGCAGAAACCAAGATGTTGGGTTTAGTGTGGGACACTAAAAAAGACACTTTGCATCTAAAAATAAAAGAGAATTTACTGGATGAACAAAATACTAAACAAATTCAATGTAAAAGAGAAGTACTTAGCACTATAGCTTCAGTATATGATACTTGTGGATTTTGTTCACCCTTAATATTACCTGATAAATTGTTACTCCAACAGCTGTGGGAAAATAAACTCAAATGGGACACACTACTACCTGAGGAGTTAAAACAGAAATGGGATGAAGTGGCTGACTGTTTAAGGATGGTTCGAAATGTAGTTATACCACGATTTGCTTGTATTGCACCAGAAGAAAAAACAGTCACATATGAATTACACTGTTTTACAGATGCATCAAAAGATGCCTATGCTGCAGTTCTCTACTTACGTTCAAGTAATGGAGTGGATACCAAGGTAGCCTTCTTAATATCCAAGTCTAGAATTACACCAAAACAAGACAAAGATAGCTTGAAAATTCCAAAATTGGAATTACTCGGATACAAAATTAGTTTACTTCCAGTATATTGGAAGTAAACTAATTTTGTATGTCAAAAATGTGATTGGACTAACAATTGAACATCAATACTTGTGGACAGACAGTATGATCGTTTTGGGTTGGATGAAATCAAATAAATTATTACCACCATTTGTTTCAAGAAGAATCAATACCACTTGGTACTTGGTGCAACGGGCTGGTATCCGCAACTCGACGACAAAGCGCCTATTTTGCGTGTGGAATCAATACAATCAGGCAAAACAAAGAAATCCAGCCTTGCTACATCAACACAGACAGTAATCCTGCCGATGTAGCAACACGACCTAACTTTTGGACAGAGAAAAATCACTTGTGGTTCCAAGGTCCATCATTTCTACTTAAGGACAAAAATGAATGGCCACAAAGTATGTATCTTGGAAGTGAGGAATCGTCTTGTGTGTTGGGGGAGAGTCTGGACGGACTATGTCCAGATATAACAATGATGACTAATGACGAAGAGTATATAAATGAACTCACTGGGTATAGCTCACCAAAACAAGGTTGTTACCAGCTGGAGAATACCCGAGAGGTGAAAAATGTGAAGACACTGCAAAGAAAATATTTTCGTAATGAAGTTGAAGGTAAAGTAACGCATCTCACCAGAAATTTAGGTCTGTATCTTGATGTGGACGGTGTGTTGAGGTGCCGTGGACGGATGGCTAACACCAGCTGGTCTTACGATACCAAACATCCTGCTCTCATCCCTAGAGATAGTGAGTACACAAGCAAATTGATACAAGAAATCCATGAGAAAAACTATCATGTGGGTGTGTCGCATACGTTAAGCTTGATAAGAGAGAAGTTTTGGATACCTCAAGGAAGAGCGCAAGTACAAAAGATATTAAGACACTGTGAGAATTGTGTGAAGCATGGAGGGGGTCCCTATAAGCTACCGTCAACCTCAGATTTGCCAGCAGAACGAGTTAATTTAAGTGCCCCTTTTACCTACACCGGTATGGATTATTTTGGTCCACTTTACATCATTGGAGAAATAGGCAAGGAAAAGAGATAGGTATGTTTACTTACCTGCTTAGCTGTGAGAGCCATCCATATGGAAATAGTGAAAGATTTAACTGCCGAGTGCCTACTAGGTTTAAGACGCTTTGTTGCGAATCGGGGAAAACCTGAGGTAATCATGACAGACAATGCAACCCTTTTTAAACTGACCGCAGAAGTTGTCTCAGATATCATCAATCAAGTGGAAGTTTATACCGCAACTAGCACCTTGGCATGGGGGTTTTTATGAAAGGATGGTTGGACTTGTCAAACATTGTATGAAGAGGACCCTGGATAAACATCTCTTAAAGGAAACACAGTTACTTACTGTGGTCAAAGAAATAGAGTCTGTTTTGAATAGTCGACCCCTGACATGTGTTGGCTCGGAGCCTGAACAAATATTGAAACCAGCCGATTTTCTTTCATTGGGGAAATGCATTGCTCTGGAACCGTTAAATGAAAATATACCATCTGGAAGTACATCGACAAAACAAGCCCTAATAGAAGGTTGGATAAGAGGACACAAGATCGTGGCAGAATTTAGAAAAATGTTTACCACTCAATATTTATTCAGTCTTAGAGAAAAATACAATTACAGTCCAAAGCAGCCCAGAGTAACAAATAGTAATATGTCAGAGGTCGGTGACGTAGTTCAAATCAAAAGTGATGTCAAGAACAGAAATAAGTGGAAGGTAGGAAAAATAATTTCATTGACTCGTGGAGCTGATGAGGAGTGTCGGATAGCAAAAGTGAAAGTAGGCAATTCAGAGTACACTCGCTCGGTAGGTCACTTATACCCACTTGAAGTAAATAGTAAGAGGAATGAAAGTGAAGGTCTTTCTGAGCAAGTTCCTGAAGTAGAGATTGCCAAGTCCTCTGAAAGTCAAGAAACAAATTCTGCTAAGCCGCCTGCTGGAGGGGTGGAAGTAGGACACGAGCTGTCTGAGGCTCTGGATGACCTAACGCCAATAAGAGTTAAGAGGAAAGCAGCAATCAGAGCAAGAGAAAAGATGACCGAACTTACTCGCAATCTTCTCACACTTTTGTAGTTCCTGTGGCGCCCGGAGTGTCGCGAATTATGTCGCGATTTAGTATAAGTTTTGTAATATCAAGC